TTAGCATACATGGTTCCTGCGTATATCAGTTCCAAAAGGGAAACGATGTGTTCATCTGTTCCACTGCACTATTTAATTTGCCACACGACTGGACATGGGAGCGCCTCATAAAGCTACCATTGGAATGAACGCCAAGCTATTTCGCAAATATTCACAATTGTTGCGAGAGGACAGCATCCCTTAGCTTTCCTTTGCATCAGTCAATCGATCAATTTTGATGACCGCCTGGGCTTTCAGGCCGCGGAGACAGTAGCATTAAGCAGTGCTACCAGCATGCCGGATCCCGTGCCAGTGTTTGAGCTTCGGCAGAAGACAACCGGAGTCTAGAACAGAGTCCTTTGATGCACTTCCCGCAGGATACTCGTGGCTGTTTTCAGGATCTTTCTCCGATCGATTGGGCAACTAGAAGTGGCTTCGCCTTCCTTCCTGAAGGCATTCACTACATGTGCCCAAACCATCGCAGCTGTGACTGCTTTCCTCATTGATCATTCAGAAATCAAGGACAGACCGCATCGACGGCTCTTTTTCAAACGGAGTCATTCCATTTCTTATTGCAGAATCATGTCAGATTCGTCTGAAAAGTTCAAGCGAATTGACGACTTCTTTCAGCGTTGTAAACACTCCAGAAACTACATAGAATGACGCTTAGTTGTCACACAAGTTTCACTGCTAAATCCTGTTTGTGATCCTACAAAGCAGTGAATGCATGAGGTTGATGAATGAACCAATATTCACTTTGTTAATTAACAAGAAAACTATCCATTTGGTTTTTTGCCATGTTGGATGCACCCATCGAGGATTATCGTCTTTGCTTTTGTTGTCACTCACACCATTACTTGCAATCCATTCGGATATTTTCGCATGCCGACGAGCACCAGCCTACGAACGATGTTTCGAAGCTGCGTAATAGAATTAGGACATGACAGAATCTGATGCTTTGCCTTTTTTCTTTAGGTGTTGGAAGCGAAACATACATCCGACAACGGTTCATCCAGAGGGGTGTCAAAACAGGCGTCCTCGCAAGACATCTGAAGACGCAGGACTGAAAAGATATTGAAGTTCACTCCTTGTTGACTGTTCATTAACGCTTTAATGATTGCTAAAGAACATTTTCCTGTACCTCATTTTGTTCCGCCTGTTTTGAAATGAATAGCACAACTCGACCAACATGCAGAACTTAATTTGTGCATTTGAAATTCACTGAATATAAGCATACGTTTCTGGAAATAATTTTGATCTGCCATTGTGGTTCTCGAAGGACTGTCGGTAGAAATGGTAACTGGACGGTTGTTGAGTTTCAGCACAGTTCGAGTTAGCAGCGAATAAATGGATCCTTCTGTCCTGGGATACACATTCAATGACAGAGAGGGCTGCTAGCCAGAACCTTGTGTTACACTGAAAAGCGTGACTGTGAACATAGTCATCTTCTCCTTTTGCTCCTCTGCCATTCATTTACGATTCTCATTTCCTGTACAGTATTCCTTTTATCCTTCTCGCTTCAATCTTCCTTATCACTCACTTTGTCGTCTAGTCTTTCCTGATGTTCCTTCCCCTACTCCTTCAGCTTGACATTTTCAATCCGCTTTCGCCTTCCTTTTCCTGTTTTGCTTCATTTTTTAAAAGATTTTTTTCCTATTTTTTCCTTTGCTATTTCAGCTTCGAAAACTGCATCAGTACACCTGATACCGGGATGCCCAGACTCTGGCACAGGACCGGGAACGTTGAAAGCTCTGTCTGACGTGTGTGCCTCCGTGGCCCTAAAGGAAAGGTGGCTATGGAAGATGAAGATATTTCAGCTTCGCTTGCAGCTTGCTTCTCCATCTTCTCTTCCTTCTTTTATTTCTTCTTTTTAATCATTTTTGTCATCCTCATTTATTTCTTCTCTCATTCCTCGCTGTCTTCTTCAATTTCTCCCTCAATTTCGCATTTTATTTCTATTTGCTTCATCTTCATCTTTTGCTATCCGTTTTTCTTCTTTTTTCATTTGCCATTTCTCCTACTTTATCTTCTCCTCCTTCTCGTTTATTAATTTCTCTTCCATTTCTTTTTTGTCTTGTTCAGCTTCCTTTCCTTCACCTATTTCTCGTTTTTTCTTCTTCCACTTTTACTCTTTTCTCCGTTTCTTTCTTCTCTTTTTGTTCTCGCTTTCGTCATGGCGAAAACTAGACATTTCATTCTTCTTTTTCTCCTCTTATTTTTTCTTTCTTTTTTGTCTCCATCTGCTTCTCGATTTCGTTTCCTCTTTTTCGCCCTGTTTCTGCTGCTTCTCCATTTATTTTGTCCTGAACCTCTTCTTTCTTTCCTCCTCATTCTCTTCCTCCCTCTTCACAATCAACTTTACCCTCTTTTGCGTTCCTTCCATCTTATTTTCATCTCCTTGTGAGACTCCGCAAATTCTTGATCTTATTTTCTTCCCGATTACTTTGCTTTTGATTCCAATCGTCGTTTGTATTCCGGTCTACATATTTTTCTCAGTTTTTTGCTGCCGCTGTTAATCAGCAGCCATTGAATCAAATGCTGAGATTAGGCAAATACCAGTGGTTACTGCAGTGTTCAGTATTGATTGATTTGAAAGACAAATTACACCCATTACTGGAAGGGTGATAGTTCCTCTTTTAGGTTGCAGGAACCTCACATGAAATGAAGAAAAGACTTATGTTGATGTTACCAGCACTAACGTCAGAAATGCAAGCAGCAAGAAATCGATGAGCCATTAAAATAAACATGTAGATTATTGAGATTCTTAGAATCGATATTGGTCACATCTTTAAGTTATGACACGGGTTCCAGTGTTTCTGATTTATTTATATAATCCATATCTGCAAATTGGGCAAGGTGAAAAATATTGATAAAAATGAAGAAAAGGCTAATAGCGGAGTAATGCAATCAGCAAATCAGTAAAAAATTATCTGTTTTTTGCCAGGACGTCTTTAAACATGTGTTAAGGTACTGTGCATTACAGATGAACCACCGAAAGATTTAAAGCAGATGCAATGCTGAATATCGAACGAAGCTGCATGAATCAAGCATCATTAACAGAGATTGACTCTTTGCCTCAACCAGATAAGGGAGGGGCAATTCTAATAATGGAAATGATGCCTCAAAAATGTATTAAAGTTCAAATTAGCTTTGTATCTTAATGACTATGCTATTGTTGGTCATTGGCGCGCTACTCGTCCAAAGCCTGTGTATGGGACTGTTTCCTTGCTCTTGCCTACACAGGAGGTATTTAAGCAGCAGACAAGGCTCGCATTGTCTGAGCAGTGTAACATACATGTCACGAGCGACACTAAAAGGACATACAAATGAGCTCGGTGGATAAGAAATAAATTCGGGCTAGTTCCAATGACAGAAATATTGGCCTAAAGTAGTTCTGTTGAATAAATTATGCAAAGAACGAGTATGAAGAAAAAATAGAATCAGTGCTTTACATAGACTAGGAAGGGAGTTAAGTAAACGGAAGAAAATATGGCGTAATATTGTAAGGAATTAGAAGAAGTTGCCATAGGAAAAAAAGATTTCCTAGGGTATCAGAGAATATGGGCAAAATCGACAGATGCTTGAACGGGACAGACGCCCCGCTGAAGGAAATGCGACGGGAAGAAGAAATGGATAATCTTCGTTTGTCAGATCGATAGATTCCATGGGGAATTTACTTATGTTTCAACTTCGGTTTCTTACAAGCTGTTTTCGACAAGAATGCGTGCACGTAAAAGCTTTTCTTCTCAGTATTATATAGCGAAAGCGCAGCTTAGTCAACACTTCAGTTTTCCAGAGGATCTGAAGTAGCGGATGCGTGCCGTGCTTTCCATAAAAGCGGCAGAAAAAATTAATTAAATATTTATTCCTGCTGCTAGACGACCAATCGAAATTCTCGTCCGTGATTGCGTCTTCAAGCCAGTACACAAAATTCGAGCAGCCGGAAGACTTATAAATTTCTAGTCTGTTGGAACAACCGCTTTCTAGCTCCGGTTGGCGACGATGAACTCGAATCTCAGAGACTACGCATTCTTAGAGGAAAAGTTCGGTATGAATTGGTTGCAGATGCATTGTTCAGTATGTTGAATATCGGTTGAAAATAACTGTGAATGGCAGGTAAAAAAAAATAATGAGGCAGTTTCTGCATTGGCCCAGATTCCTTTTTTAAATTTTAAAAAAATCTAGACCTCTTCGGTATCATAATAAACATGACAAAAACGGTCATCAAATTTTATGACAGATTTTAACTTGTCAACAACAAATTTTTCTTAAACACTTGGCACCTGTCCTTAAATCAGCTGATGGTGATTATTGACCACGAGTAACTCGCTCAGTGGTTTTTAAAGGTCACTGTTGCCCAATTGATTTTTGAGATTTGAACACATCAGCAATTATCATTCGACTTTTCATCGTTATAAACGATCCTCGAATCTTCCCTTCATTTAGAATCTTATATGAGTGGTGGAAGCGATAGACGAAATCGGCAAATTAGAGTATCTCGGTTGAATCATCTTCAACGACGTAAGCCGTGAGTAGAGACTTAGGAAGGGAGGCAAGTCCTGATGGAGAAACTCGTTGAGATAAACTGTTTACTGTAGCTCAAACGCTTCTTGTATGGCAGCCGAAACATGACCAGCGTCAACCAGCGTCGACCAGCGTCGACCAGCGTCCACGACCAGTCGACCAAGAAGTAACATGGTAGTAAAGGGTCTGCCTATGGAAAGAAATTGTTCTCCGTACGATTCAGCAACCGGTGCGTTACAGCAAGAGCATTGCAAAACTGTGAATAGATGGGACATCGAGTACCACCGATGTTCTGCTTGTGCAGGCAGCCCAATTTGATAATCGCGAGGGCACAAAGCAGATCTGGGTTACTCTGCTGTTTAAGCTCTAATAACTTTACATGACGAGGACAAAAGCAGAACAAAACCGACCACAAATGCACACCCACAGTAATCATATGTTTTTGTTTTTCTGTACTTTACATAATGTCTCTTTTCTACGAAACTTTATAGAAAACATGAACTTATAAAAAATAAGTTGTATGGTGGATCAGTGGTTTGTTCTGCTTCTTCCAAGTGCAGGGTTCAAATTCCACCAAAGCACAACGTTTCTAGTAGCTACTGCTAAATTCCGTTGAATGCTGGAAGAGTTCACTCTACTGTGCCTCTGGGCAACAAGCTAAGAAATCGTTGAGCTGTG